TCTTACATTTAGGTATTTAATTTTTTTGTGGTTGATTTTTAAATATTGTGTAAAGTAATGGTTCACATTTATTCTTTCACATCTGAACGTTCAGTTTTCCCAGTGACATTTGCTGAAAACAACATTTTCCCTCTGCATTGTAGTCAATAGATTCAGAATATATGATAAGCCCACAGCTACTATCATGTCCCATGTTGAAAGAATGATCTTTTATTCCTAGATCTGAAACAAGTAGTATGTCCACTCTCACCACATTTATTCAAGATATAAAATGTGACCAGAGCAATTCAACAAGAAAAATTAATACAAGCTGTCCACGTTGAAATAGAAGTACTTGTGAAATTAATTATATCCACAGATCAGAGAATAAGTGCATGAGCTTATCTGTGGATTTCCATTTATTCTCAATAACTAAGTATGTTTTTCCACTCATGGAGGAGTCTGAAGTACGTAGACTGTCATGTTTGGGTTGCTGTGGTATAAGTTTGCCACATTTTCTTGGAGGAAGTGTTATTTAAAATGCTGACAAGGAAAAGCATTCACATGTGAGTCTTCACATGGAATTTGTAAAAATATGAGAGTTTTGTGCATGCAAACGTCCTGGGATGTCCAGCTTACATGCATGGTATCACCAGTACTTGACATCCACCATCTCTTTAACTATGGCTAACAGCAAATTGTTTTACTTTTGAAACTCAACCAGTTAAACCTAAATTATATTAAGTGAAATAAGTGAGGCACAGAAAGAGAAACACCACATGTTCCCTCTTATTTGTGGGAGGTAATAAATATGAATTGTTAAGTATACAAACAAATGGGGGTAAGAAGACACAATAATCACAATTCCTCAAATGTGTTAAGACAAGTGGACAGACACGATGTCAATTGTGGGAGGGGGAGAGGCAGCAGGGAAAGGAGGAATTGGCAAAGGGACATGAAAATCAACTACATTGTATGTTGTTGAAATAAAATAATAAATATATAAATACAAAAAATCTCATTGATCCATATTTCCCAATGAGAGGCAAGTAAAAGTAAAACTCACACCACACACACACACACACACACACTCACACCACACACACGCGCGCGCACACACACACACGCACAGAGAGTATCTCAAATTGTTTACAGTCTTCCCATTAGCATTATAACATGATCTGGTATCTGCTACATCTGTCATTAGTAATACCTCTAAATGTCAGGAGCTCTTTTTTACAAGGTGTCCTATTATTTTCTGGGATCTGAGCACACAGTAGCAACCTATCCACACCCACCTAAGTATATACACAACTATTACATTTTCTTATTTGTGAATAAGAATTTGTATCAGTGTGAGCCCAGAAACAGACCTCCCTGCTGGGAGACAAAAGGCAGCTGTGCTGAGGGGGCCCTCAGGGTCCACTCTAATCGTAACCACGCCAGGAGCAGGTGCAGAGAGGAGCTGAGAAGAGATGTTCTGCTGGGATCAGGGACTTTGTCTCCCTTCAGTATCACACAGCAACCCCAGCCCCCCAACATCACCCTCTGTCTTCCACTGTCTAAGTTCTAAATAATCTGTCCTAGACACTGAGTTCCATGGAGTCTAAGCCCAGGTCAGTCTTCCCAGCTCTGAGCCAGGAGCAGGGTGGAGTCTCAGCAAAGCCTGACCATCAGAGCACAGACCCCACCTCACCTCCTAACATCTGTCTCATGTGTCCATCTGTCTGTGGACACCCCATGGCAAGTTACACTCAGGGGACCTGGAGCTGTCTCAGATGCCCTGCTGAGCCCCTGGGTCACACACACACATGATTCCAGTCCACGCAGGCACCACTGCATGACAGGCTGTGTCATGTGGGAACACAGCCATCTGCTGACCCCTGGGCTCTTCTCACAGCCCACATGCCTGATGGTAGAGAATGTCTAGATGGTCCTGCCAGGGGTCGATCTCTGTCATGGACACACTCCTGTGTGGCTGAGGTCACAGAGTGACCAGCAAGTGGGCTGGGTGGCCTGGGTACCAACATGTCTCCAATGTCCCCAGTGAACAGAGCCCAAATATTCAGGTAAAATAAGAGTTATTAATGGAAATTCCTATATTAGGAAAAAGGGAGCAATCACAGCTGAAATCACATATGGGAAAATAACAAGTAACAATTAGCAGAAATGATTAAGTGTTCTTATTATAAATTTGAATACAGGTAGAGAAATAATTCAAAAGAGTATTGAGTGCAGCACACATGTCTAGAAACAATTATTTCTGCCATTTCTTTATACTTATGTCCTCTGAAGTTATCATTTAACTTGGCTGTCCTCTTAATGCTCTAAACACAAAAACTGCAAACATCAAATTGACAAGAGACACTCCTGTCTGTGTAACTAATAAGAACCTTGCAATGGTTCAGTGTGTTCTCAGTGCGTGTCTTCCTGTTCATCTCCTCCTCACAGAGTAAAACCCTGACCTGTGTGTGAGCTCCTCACAGCCCACAGTCTTTGGAGGATAAAAAAGATGTTGGGTGGGACACCAGGATCACACAGCCTGTGTGGCTCAGAGCGACCAAAGGGGTTTATAGCACGTCGACTGCCTCATGCCTGGACACCTCCTGACTGGTTTTCTTAGCAGCTGGCACAGGAGACACTTCTTGAGAAATCCCACCAACATCTACGTGTCTCACGTTATTCATCAAAACTGAACATGTGGAATGTCCTGCAGGCCTCCAGGTCTTTGCAAGTTGCATCATCCCGTTAGCTTGTTACAACCCATGGTCTACACACACAACTCTACACACTGCTCCTAGTGCGACAATTAGCATCCAGAGATGTCAAATGCAATTGGTCCTGTCCTCATGCCTTGGGCTCCACAAACTCTGAAACTTTAGTCCTCGCTGGCCACTCTGCCTTTTCCGAAATAATCTCTCAGTAAGTAGTGTAATTACTTGCTCTACAATTTCCTCAATTAGTTAACAGTTCGAACTCTAAATGAAAGCCGTTCCTCTGCTGGGAGAGAAGTTCCAGGAATAAAAGTTTTATAATAAATAATTTAACCGATCCTTCTCCACTATTTCTAGAACTCTGTACATCTCAGGGCTTCCCTCAGCTCAGACCATGAAAGTGACCAGAGCTCCTCCCACCAAGGCTGGCCCAGCTCCTCCCCTGAGTGCCTGTGGTCATGGTGATGGACATTCCACCCACCTGACCCCTGGCCCTCTTCCTGTGAGGACACCTGCCATCCATCCACAGGGTAGCAAGTTCATCACTGCTGACAAAATCCACTCTTGACAAGCAGCAATTTCTCCTGACCAGAGCTTTTCATACCCTAATGTGGGTTTGCTTTTGTTTCCACAGTGCTTCTGCCTAAACCTTGGGGAAAAGGAGCTTTTTGTGGCTGCCCCCACCTTAGATGAAAGGGATTCAGAAGGACAAGTTTCCTGTCGGGACTGTGGCTCCTGAGCATTTCACACTGTAACTCTTTCACCACACTCAGCTGCAACAGACCCAGTGCACGTTTCTAGCTTCATCTTGTGCTAGTTGATGTGTCATCCAGCAGCCTCCGCCCCAGATCAGCTGATGTCCTGACCTTGTTCTCCCCAAAAGTTCTTGTCTCTCTCCAATTACAGGTGTCTTGTTTGTCTTCTAACTTCAGTTATGTGAAATACTGAATAAAGTTCGCTAAATCTCACCATTTCCAGATTGTGTTTGAGGTTGTTGTTATGATAAGAAACACAGACTGTTACTCGGCTGCTCACCTCTCCATGCTGAGCAGCAGTTAGATTTGTAGGACCAAGAAACTAGAAAATATCCAAATATTAATCTGCAGCTTAATAGACAAACTGCTTTAAATTCATTAATTGAAATACTGACCATCATTACAACCAATAAATACTTGATACACACAAGATGGTTAAATTCACAGGCATGTATCCCAAGTAGAATAAGCCAAGCAGATAAAAGGACACAACATGTCATTCCACTTCTATGATTTCCAGACAATAAAACATAGTATAAAGTAAAGAAAGAAATTTCAGTAGTCACCTGGTGGTAAAGTAGAGGAAGGGAAGAATAAAAAAAGAGAAATTACAGAAGAATAAATATTGGGAGTAATTGATTTGTTCACTGTATTGATAACAATGCTGGCTGAGTCAGTAATTATTAATTGCACACTTTTTGTGAAGTTTGATAAATGTCAATTATACCTCATTAAAGTTATTGCAAATAAACAGATACTTGGGTAGGGAAAGAGTGGTAGAAAGATAGATGAAAATGTGTGAAGTGACAGAGACTCTTAAAACTCATCTGAATGGATTCTAGCTCTATATGTGTTTTTAGATAAAATGTAGAATGAAACACATCACACATGTTCTCATTATAGAAAAAAAGGTCCTGCAAACCTCACTAGGAAGGTCCAACTCTGTCCTGGGGTGTGTTCAGGGAGGAATGTGAATGTGTTTTTAGATAAAATGTAGAATGAAACACATCACACATGTTCTCATTATAGAAAAAAAGGTCCTGCAAACCTCACTAGGAAGGTCCAACTCTGTCCTGGGGTGTGTTCAGGGAGGAATGTGATCCAGTGTGAGTAGCACAGCCCCAGACACTGGGATGGCACTGATAATTCATTTGGACACTGCACATGTCCCCTACAGTTCTGGGTGTCCATTTAATCTGTAAAATGGAAGGCACATTGTCACCCACAACACATGATTTTTGTGCTTCGGCAAAATGAAACAGTGTTATGAGTGTTGTGTATATCACAGCACAAACACACTATTTTAAAAAATCACACTTTCTCAATTGCCACAGAATTCTTTGTGGGCACTGTCACATGCTCTAGGAAGTGTCCCCTTCATAGGTGTCCGACCCCATATCTACCTATATAGCAGGAAAATATGCAAATAGAGCCTCTCTCTGCTGATGAAAACCAGCCCAGCCCTGACCCTGCAGATCTGGGAGACGAGCCTCAGCCCCAGATTCCCAGGAGCTCCCATTCAGTGATCAGGACTGAACACAGACGAGTCACCATGGAGACAGGGATGAGTTGGATTTTCCTTATTGCAATTTTAAAAGGTGATTTATGGAGAGTAAAAAACATTGAAAATGTGAGTGGATGTGTGTGAGAAAACAAGTGGATTTGAGTGTCATATTCTGACCAGGACGTCTCTGTATTTTCAGGTGTCCAGTGTGAGGTGCAGCTGGTGGAGTCTGGGGGGGGGGGCTTGGTCCAGCCTGGAGGGTCTCTGAGACTCTCCTGTGTGGCCTCTGGATTCACCATCAGCGACTACTACATGGACTGGGTCCACCAGGCTCCAGGAAAGGGGCTGGAGTGGGTTAGTTTCATTAGAAACAAAGCTAATAGTCACAGCACAGAATATGCTGCATCTGTGAAAGGCAGATTCACCATCTCAAGTGAAGATTCCAAAAGCACTGTCTATCTGCAAATGGACAGCGTGAAGTCCGAGGACACAGCCATGTATTACTGTGTGAGAGACACAGTGAGGGAAAGTCAGTCTGTGCCCAGACACAAACCTCCATGCAGGGGTGTGTGGGACCACCAGAGGGCGAGCAGGACACACTGAGCAAGCATCGGCCCTGGAGCAGGTGCAGGTGGAGGGTAAGTGCTGGTTTATGTTTGTGCTCTTGAGCTTCCTCTTCATCAGTTTCCCAGAAATCCCCTCTAGATTCATGACTCTGGGTTTACCACTGACATCTCTGAATTAAAGCTCTTATTGTAGCAGGAGGACATATTCTCACATGCACACCAGTCAGCGTGTCACTTATGAAATCAGAATGACCCTGTTGTGGTCACCAGAATCAGAGTCCTGAGGAAGCTCAGAGGACCTTGTGAGTATCTACCAGACAGGCTCAGGGCGGTGCCCTCAGTGGGGTTTCCCTTTAAAGATGCTCTTTGAAACTCATATTTGAAGCAAGAAGAGGCTGGAGCAGGTTCAGAGACCAGTGTCATCCAGTGGATTTTAGATCTGACCACCCTCCTTTGCAGGTGCACATCAGACTCAGCACTGATCAGGATTTCTTGTGATTTTAGAGCCTCTCCAATTATAAGACACAGGATTCTGCACTTAAAAATCTCTTTTCAGTCTCTATGGTAAAATCCAGTGTTGGTTTGAGGAAGCTAAGAGTGTTCTCCTCAGACAGAACTGAAGTCTCTAGGGAAAAAAAAATTGCGGTCTAAAAGAAGATGACAAAGGGTACAAAAGCAATTTCTGGTGATGGGTATGTACCTAATATTAATCTGGCCCCTACATCATGGGCAGGAGGGGGACAATCATCTTTGTATCTCATGAATATTCAAAATAAATAAATAAATGAAGAAGATGAGATTGTTGGGTCTTCTTCATTGCCTGGTGACAGCTCCCCAAAGGGAGTGTCTCAGTTGTCAGACATGGGTCTGTGGGGATGGCTGTGAGTGTACATGACTGAAGGAGACTGATTCTCACTATTCCCAAGTGTCTTTCTTCAGGTGCAGGTTCAGGAGTTGGGCTCAACAGTGGTGAAGCCCTTGGAGAGACTCTCCCTCACTTGTGCTATCGCTGGATTCTTTATCACAACCAGTGGTTTCTGCTTTGAATTGATCCTCTGAGCCCTTGGGTAGGAGCTGTAGTGGATGAGCTAAATTTGCCCTTATGAGAAATGACACAGCAGCCTGTCCATCAAGAATTGAGTCTTCATCTCCAGAGATGTGTCTAAAAACCAGTTTTTCCTGCAGTCAGCTCCACGATGGCCGAGGACATGGCTGTGTGGTACTGTGCAAGAGAAGCAGAGGCAGTGTGAGTCCAGACACATCCCCCTGCAGGAGGACAGGGGACCTCCACGGAGCACTGTGGACACACCCAGCAGGTGGACCTCAGGGCAGCTGCAGTGGAAGGCATGGAGGGTTTTCCCTCAGCAGCTGTGGTTTCCAACCAGGACCTGCCTCCCAAAAGCCTCCCAACAGAGTAAACCCAGGTAAAATTCGTCACTTTCTACATCACTTTTTCCCCCTTTAAGAGTCAGGAGTTGCTGACTTGACTTGTCTGTTTCAGGACAGGATGTAGAAGGATATTTCTTAAAACAAGTCATCCATGTATTTATAGGTGAACCAGTGAACACAGTCCTTTTCCTTTCTTTTTTTTTATAAGTACTCATAAATTACAATGCTAATTGTCAACCCTTATGCCCATGATGTGAGGGCCAGATTCATGCTGGAGCCATACCCGTTACCAGAAATTAATTTTGTACCCCTTGTCCTCCACACACTTGTACCCTAACCACCCTCCCCCTCCCCCTTCCCCCCGCCCTGCACTGTAGCCCTAGGAATGTTCTCTCCTTCTGCAAGTCCAACACACCACTGTGGTCTTTCTTTCCTTCCTTCCTTTCTCTCTTAGCTCACACATATGACCAAGCACATATCCCTCTGTGCTTTGCTTATTTAACAGAACATAAGTTTCACCAGGCTCATTAATTTTCTTGAAAATGGGAGTATTTCCTTCTTTTTTATGGCAGAGTCATATTCCATGGCATACATATGCCACTGTTTCCTTATCCAATCATCCAACGATAGACATGTAGGTAGGTTCCATGTCTTGGCTACTGTAAACAGAGCTGCAGTGACCATAGGAGAGCAGGTAACCCCTCGACATGATGATTTCCATTACTCTGGGTATATACCCAGATGGGGAATTGCTGGATCATATGGTAGTTCTACTTGTAGTAGTTTGAGAAACTCAATACTATTTTCCAAAGTGTTTGTACTAATTGACAGTCCCACCAATAGTGCAGCAGTGTTCCCTTCTGTCTCCATCCTCACCAGCATTTGTTATTCATCATCTTTTTGATTATAGCCAGTCTAACTGGGGTGAGGTGGTATCTCAATGTAATTTTAATTCTCATTTCCCTGATGACTAGTGATGTTGAGCATTTGTTCATATATCTGTTGTCTATTTGTACGTCTTCCTTTGAAAACTGTCTATTCAGCTCCTTTGCCCATTTTTTTTTTACATGGGTTATTTGCTTTTTTACTGTATAATTGCTTGAGTTCTATGTATATTTTGGACATTAATCCCTTGTTGGATGCATAGTTAGCACAAATTTTCTCATAATCTGTAGGTCGCCTTTTCATGCTGTTGATTGTTTCCTTTGCTGTTCAGAAACTTTTTAGTTTCATATTGTCCCATTTGTTAATTTTTTTCTTCTGCTGCTTGTGCTTACAGGCTCACATTCATGAAGCCTATGCCTTGATCTAACAGCTGAAGTGTGTCACTTATATTTTCCCTTAGTAATTTTACAGTGTCAGGTCTTATACTTAAGTCTTTAATCCATTTTTAGTTGGTGTTAGTGTATGGTGAGAGATGCATATCTAGTTTCATTCTTCTGCACATGGATATCCAGTTTCCACAGCAATACTTGTCGAAGAGGCAGTCCTTTCCCCAATGTAGTTCTTTGTTTCCTTTGTCTAATATCAGATGACTATAAGCCTGAGGGGTGACTTCTGGGTTCTCAATTCTAACGCACTGGTCTGAATGTCTATTTTTATACCAGTACCATGCTGTTTTCATTATAATAGCTTTGTAGTATAATTTGAAGTCAGGTAGTATTATGCCTCTGCCTTTATTATGTTTGCTCAGAGTTACTTTGGCTATTTGGGGTCTTTTGTTTTTCCATATGAAAGGTAGGATTATTTTTTCCCATTTCTGTGAAGAATGTCATTTGTATTTTGATGGGGTTTGCATTGAATCTGTAGAATACTTTGGTTAGTATAAACATTTTCACAATGTTAATTCTTTCAATCCAAGAGCATGGAATATCTCTCCATCTTTTTGTGTCTTCTTAAATTTCTTTCTGAAGTGGTTGGTAGTTCTCATTGTAGTGGTCTTTCACCTCCTGGGTTAAGTTGATCCCTAGGTATCTTATTTTTTTTTGTGTGTGTGTGAAAATTGTAAATGGGCTTAGTTTATTTCTCTTTCTGTTATTTCATTATATAATATGCAAATGCAGTTTATAATCTTCCATACAGGCTTTTTTCACTTAATAAAATGAATCTATGTTTCCCAATGTATTTTCATGACTTAATAACTTAGTGTGTTTTACTGCTGAATTATATTACATTGTCTGAATGTACAACATTATATTTAATCATCCACCTACTGAAGGGTATCTTGGTTACTTCCAAGTTTTAGCAACTTGGTAGCTTTATAAATAAAATTACTATAAATATGCATGTGCAGGGTTTTGTGTGGAAATGTTTTCAGGTTCTTTGAGAATGCAACAAGTTGTGAGATGGCTGGATTATTCCTAATAGTATGTTTAGTTTTGTAGGAAACTGCCAAAGTACTGTAACATTTTTTACTCCCACCAACAATGAACAAGAGTTTCTGTTGGTCCTCAACCTCCCCAGAATTTGGCAATTTTAAGTGTTCTGACTTCTGGCCATTCTACCTGGTGCATAATGGTATCAAATTATTGCTTTAATTTCCATTTTTCCAACTACATATGGTGTGAAGTATTTTTAAAATCCCTATTTACCATCTGTCTATATTTATTGGTCAGGTACCTAGAGAGGTTTATAGCCCAATTTGCAATCAGAAACATTGGAATTTTTTAAAAATAAATTTTGAGTTTCTTAGTTTTATTTTTATATTTTGGATAACAGCCAATCATCAGTTATATATTTATCAATATTTTCTACCTTTATAATATTAAAAAAATTTTTTTGACAGTACCTATTTAAAAATAGTTTTGACAGTAACTTTTGTGACAGGACATTTTAAATTTAAATGAAAAATATTTTATTATTTCTTATTGATGAACTGTGACTTTAGTGTTGTATCTAAAAAGTCATCAAACATAAGGTCATCTACATTTTCTTCTGTGCTTCCTTTATATAGTTTCATGGTTTTGAACTTTACATTTAGGGCTGAGAACCAGTACAATTTTATTTTATTAAGTATGTAATCTCTGTGTCTACATGCATTATTATTATATTTTGCAAATGGATGCCACCTTGTTTCAGTACCAGTTGTTTAAAAAAACAATATTTTCTCTATTGTAATTTTTTCTCATCTTTTATCAAAGTTCAGTTGTGTATTTTTGTCTGGGTTTATTCCTTGCTCCGTATCTTCTTTAATTGATCTGTTTGTCTGTTCCCTCACTGATATCACACTGTCTTGATAACTGTTACTTCACAGAAGGTCTTAAAGTCAGATGATGTTGGTCCTCCAACAATGTTCTTTGATGTTGTCCTGGCAGGGGCAGGCTGTCAGTAAGAATCTGGCCTTCACATATTGGGCACGAGGGGTGACAATCAGCTCTGTATCTCATAAATATTCATAACCAATAACAAATTGTTTTGTCTACTCCGGGTCTTTCATCTCTCAGTATAAAAATTAGAATCCATTGGTCAAACTCCAAGAAATAAGCTTCTTGGATTTAGAATTTGATTGTGTTGAACCTATAGATCAGGGTGAGAAGAAGTGATGCTTGTGCAACATCGAGTCTTTCCATTCATGCCATGAAATATCTCCTCATTTAATTTATTCTTCCACCAGAGATTCTTTTATTTTTGTCAGATTTTGTCCAAATTTACTTAGTTTTATAACAAAATATTTTATTTTTGTGGGTGCTAATGTACATAATATTATGTTTTTAATTTTAAACTCTGATTATTTGTTTCAGTCACATAGAAAGATGATTACTCTTGCTAAGGACTTTAATGTGTTTTTTGAAAACTCACATATCGAACTCACAAATACCACTAATGTGATGTTATTTGAAAATGGGGATTTGGGAAGAAAACACATTATTTTATTAAATAAAAATTATTTTATGAATTTACCTTTCAAAAATTAATTGAAATCGGTAGAATGTAAAATTACAATAATATAATGTAAGTAAAATTGTATTTTAATTTTGTGTGTGTAGTGCCAACTTTAATACAACTAAAAAGAGACATGTGTAAATCTAAAACAAAAACAAAGAACACAAAGAAACAAAAATTTAAGGATACATATGTGTGTGAAAACTAGAAAAATATTTGATGATATTAACCAAAGAAAAACCTAAATCAAAGGAAATGGGAGCCATGTTCATGAGCTGGAAGACTCAGTATTATAAGATGACACATCCCAAGTTTGGTCTGTAGATTTATTGAAGCATCTGCAGTAAAATACTCATTAAGTATTTTGTAGAAATCAGCAAGCTAATTATAAAATTTTTAGAGATGAGTAATAAATGTAGGAAAACCAAAATATTTTTCAAAGAAGATTAAAAGTAGAGAACTTATATAATCTCAGGAATATATATATAATTTCAGGAATGATGGTAAAGCTACAGGAATCAAGATTTATGGAACAGGTGAAAGGAAGACTCATTTAATAAATAAACAAAATAGAGATCACAGCATAGAACAAAACAAAGAAAATCAATTTATTTTGGACAACTTCTTTTGAAAAGAAAATTATATGAAAGTGGCATAATCTCTTATACAAATGGCATTGTGACAATTGGCCATTCATATGCAAATCTATAATTTACCTTAGAACATCAGATTCTGCAAAAATGGGTCGTTTTCTCTTATCCACCATCACTTTAGTATTGGGAAAATTCTGGATTATACAGCAGTATAGCTGCTGTATTCATTTTAGATATTCTCTCCATATGAATGCATTTTTATTTCTGTTAAAATTATTTAGAGCTCCTTGCAACATGCCTTGGGCTTCCAGAAGGAAAATGTTTGCACAGAACCTTAGACACTGACATAAAACTTACAACATAAATGTTCTGAGATTGCCCAGCCAGCCTAAGCTTTGGCAGTAGATACTGAGATCAAAGTAACATCATCAGTGCCCAAATTTAAAATAAATAAATAAATAAATAAACAAATATGTAAAAGATTGGAAATAATGTTCATAGTTTTGTTGGTATTTTTACACCAAGAATAAAATCAAAGTAGAGTATATATAAAATTATGATTATAATATCTGTAAATTGCCACTGTACAGATTTTTTTTTTAATTTGAAAAGGAGTTTAGACACAATGTTCATGCATTTTGATATTTATTTGAAAGATACATGAGAACCAAACAAAACATTGTGAACTACTCCCTTAGTCAAGAATTTATTCTTATGCTCAGAAAGGTGTTGCTGCTTTTTGACCTGTTTCTTTTTTTTTTTGTCTTTTGTCTTTTTTTCCGTGTCTGGCAACGGATCGCAACCCTCAGTGTTGCCCCCGTACCGGACCAGGGACCGGCAACGGGATTGCAACCCTCGGTGCTGCTCCCGCGCCTCGCTCAGCCAGTGAGCGGGAACCGGTCTGTATGTGGGATCCGAACCCTTGGGCGGGAGCGCCGCTGCGCTTCCCAAGTGGCGCACTATCCAGTGCGCCACCGGGCCGGCCCATTTTTGACCTGTTTCTAATGTGCCTCATAAATCAAATACTCTCCCTCCCCAGATTTACAATCTAAGAGAGTTCAAGAGAAGAAATATCTTGAGAAGCCCCAAAATATTAGGGATATCCTGAACTTAGTCCCTTTCAACTTATAAGAAAAGGCTCCTCAGCATGCAAATTTTCTTCCAAACTCTAGGGTAAAATAAACTCTTGGGCTGTGGAAGCTCAAACTTTGTCTTCAGAGAGAGCTGAGGACTCTTCAGAAGGGAATTGGTGCTTTAGGGAAGGATAACATTGCTGTGTCTTCTCCTTTGCCAAGTGACAGCTACCCAAAGTGATTGTCTCAGATGACAGGCACAAGTCTGTAGGATGGTTGTGACTGCACAAGAACTGAGAAAATTGATTTTCCTTGTCCCCAGGTGTCCTGACCCAGGTGCAGCTGCAGAAGTTAAGCCTGGGACTGGTAAAGCCCTCAAAGACCCTCACCCTCACCAGCACTGGGTCTGGATTCTCCATCACAACCAGTGGTTGTGACTGGAGCAGGATCTGCCAGTCCGCTGGAAGGGGCTTTAGTTGATGGAACAAATGAGTTATGGTGGCAGCACAACTTATAACTCATCCCTCCAGAGCTGTATCTCGATCACATGAGACACAGCCAAGAAACAGTTCTCCAAGCATCTGGGTTCCATGGCCACAGAGGACATGGCTGTGTATTAGTCTGTGAGTGACACGGTGAGAGTAACTCAGTGTGAGCCCAGACACAGACTTTCCTACAGGGGACAGGAGAGAGTGGGTCTGCAGGGTATGCTCAGGGCTCACGCAACACCTTTTCTCAGGGCAGCAGCAGGTGCAGAGAGAGAATGGGGAGGGGTTACCTGGTGAGATGAGGGATTTCCTCTTTTGTCCTAATTTTTACATACCTCAGAGTGACACATCTGGCTTTGTTCCATGTGACTCTGATTTGTCACATTTCACTGGAAACAAAGAATAAAGAAGTAACTCTCTGTAGGTGAGATGTGACTAATCTCCAGGACCTTTTTCCTTGACAGTTTCCTTCATGACTGCTCTTTCTTGGCAAAAATAACTTCCTGAGGATTCCTGTCTTCCTGGACTGGGAGTTATTTCTCTTAAGCTTTTCTTCCCTTTTGGCACTCTGTCCACATTTAAAGCTCATGACCTCAGACCTCTGACAGGCACACGTTTCTCCACATGAGTGTGACCAGGCCCTGGGATTTTTGCCCCTCAGGAGTCTGCAAGGACTTCCACCTTAACCAACCTCTAGTGAGTCTCCATGGAGGCCTCTTCATGACTAGTCCTCACCCGTGTTCTACTGAGCCAAGTTTAAGCAAAGAATCCTGCTAAGTCCTTTTTCTAATTATCTCCCTCTGCTAAACACTTGATAGCTAAACAAGTCACTCTTAGCAATTTTCCATTCAATCTTTCCATTGAATATAAATATCCATTTTTTTCTGCATCACTCAGAGTTGAGTTCAATCTCTGTCTTGTATTGCAATATTATTGAATAAAGTCTTTCCTGCCATTTTCAGCAAGTGTCATAATAATTTTCATTTAACAGTCCTGTTGCCACAAACTGGATTGGGCTCATACCAGGGATTCCCACAGCTTCACTCATGCAGGCTGACCAGGGAATCCTCCCAACAAGGCTGACCCAGCTCCTGTCAAAGAGGCTCCTTTTGACTAAACATTATTCAGGTTCTCGTGATTCCTTTTCTCAAATAGGTCTCTAATCTTGGACTTCCCTGTCAGTATTGGTAGTACCCAATTTTTGTAAGTATCCTGAAGAGTCCGTTTAGCCAGAATTCACCACCTTTGATATTAGATCACTCCTGATATCCATGCAGAGTCCTCCAGCCCCACCATGCCAGGGGGTGTCTGACCACTTTTGCTTGCCTTCTGCAAAAACCCCAACACAGAATACCCCTTAACTTGAAGCTTCCTCTTAGTAATTTTTTACCCTCGATCCCCACACTGCTCTTTGTCTATAAATACCCACTTGATCATGTTATATTTTAAGTTGAGGTCAAACTCTCTCCTCTCCTGCAAAATCATTGTAGTCACCCTGTGTGAAGTCTGCCTTACTGTTACTTAACATGTGCCAGAGTAAATGTTTTTTTGTCTTTAATTCTACTCGCACTGAGTGTGTGAGGCCACAGTGATAGATATCATGATTATTTACGAACCTGACATCATTCCATTAAGATAGTCATTGTAACTATATGAATGAGTGTTTTTCCCCCTAAATATCCATATGTTGAAACCTAATCCTCAATGTGATGCCATTAGGAGTTGGATGCATTTGGAGGTGGTTTGCTCGTTAGGGTGAGCTCTCATGAATGGAATTGGTGTCCTTGTAAATGACATTAAAGGGACATTCCTTGGATCTTCTGCCATGAGAGACACATTGTGGAGACACCATTTGTTAAGCGGTGTGAGCTCTCAGCAAACACTGAATCTTCCAGTAGCTTGATCTTGGACTTCTCAGCCACCAAAACTCTGAGAAATAAATTTCTGTTTACTAAAAGATACCAGTTTATGGTATTTTGTTATAGCACCCTTTATTAACATGGTGACTAGTTGATAACTTCAGACCATAAGCACAGTTGAGAGGCAGCAATCCATACAAGCCACAGTTTACCCACGTTCTAAAGTGTGCTCACTTTTCTACAGCAGGGCACCTTTCAGAACTACTGTTCAAGGTCCTGAACCCATGATTCCCTGAGATGAGAACCTTCTGGATGTTGTCAGTGACTTAGAAATCAGGCTGTTGTTGAGGGAAGGAAGGTGTGACCAGGAGGACAGGAGCACAGGGTCCAGTGATCCTACATCCTTCAGATTTTCCCAGTAGCAGAAACCCTGATAGAATAGATGGGGTGATTTAAATGTTTAAAATGGATGTCTGTGGGTTTGACACCAAATGTTTTATTACGACATATTTTGCAAGAGGCAATCCAAGTCTTCAACAAAATTCCATTTTAGGAGTACAGTGACCTTGAGATTTCTGCATGTGACTGACTCAAAGTGATGGACTTTATAGGGCTCTGCATCCCAAGATTTATGGCTCATGGATCTAGAAATCAGTGGTGAGAGGTACAATTACTTTATCTCATCACATCTATGGGGACAATGCACATTTCTTTTTCATAATTTTCCTTCCTATCTCCACAACCTTGGGCTGTGATCAGTTAGGACAACTGGTCCTCAGGATGCAATGTTTACATAAGGTGGGGACAAGAAGGATTTCAGTGAGTCCGAGGATGTGATGACAGCCTGATTCATAAAAATTCCTATAAACATGGATCATCAAAAAAAGAAAGTGTTAGAATATGGATGATGGTATTTGACTTGTCTCCTTTGGTGTAAAGTTGCTGCTACCAGCAGAGACAGATAGGAGCCACCTTGACCCATGCAGAGTGTGGGAGTTTCTTCTGTTGCATTCACCATGGTCTAGAGCAACTGCATCAAACACCTGACAGTGCCCAAGTCACCAACGTCAATGGACACTTAGTGATCAAGGCCTCGGCCATCCCACCAGCCAAGCAATACGAAATCATCACCAACACCGAAGTACTGGCCATGACTTAGAAGAATCTAGACTGGACATGAGAGGGGATAGTGACAAGTGTCAAGTGGTGACCACAGGTCCAGCTACAGTGTGGACAATGAAGCCTGATCCACGAACTCTCACACTGTGACTTCCATGCACATTGGGACTGGCTGCTGTTTCAAAGCCTTCATTGCAAAGTGGACTGAACATTGCACTGTGGGCATCGAATCATGAAAAGTGGACGTCGAGGGCTCACTCTAGTGGGTTCCTGTTGATCCCATTCGTGTCCACTGAGCCAACACAGATTACAGCAGCCATTGCATTAGATAGTTCTGTGTGTACATGATTCACCTGCAGCTGAGAGTGTGCTCAGGTGATGTAAGACTTTCTCCATTGCAGTGGGGATTCTGAGGACCAACGTTTGATGAACCACTGAAGTGTAGAGACTTTAGTCCTTACAGGGATGTCTGTCAACAACAGAGGGAGAAGCAGGAAGGCAAATGCTCCACTCCCAGGGCCCGAGGATGTTACATGGATTCTCCAGAGACCTTGAAGGGTGGGGCTCTCCTTTTACTGGCAGTGACCTTCACAAAAGGAAGCTCCTTCATACCCCATTGATATGATACTGAAAAAGATGAAAAATTATTTCAGTACATCTTCACCCTTAATTTCTCTGGAGTAACCTTCTTATGGGATACAAGCATAAACACCAATTCATTAAAATAAATAAATATAAATAAATAAATATAATAAATCAATTTAGAATATAGTTCACTGCGTAAGAAAATAAACATTTTCCTGTACTGGCATGCATTTTTTTACATTTAAGTTTTCTCTCTTTTAGGATGTTTGAAATTCTTCTTAGAAAAGTTTGAAAAAGTGAAACCTGGAAAACTCTGAGACGTGCATCACCCCAGGCACATTACGGTCCCACCTGTGCTTGCTTTCAATTTTGAAGGCTGTGGCCTTCCCAGAGTTCATGCAACCAACACATCCCGTATATTGCTGTATTTTTTCTGTCTTCACATGGTCTTTCATCTCTACATGTCTGTGTCTTTATCTCCCTTTCTTATAAGGACACGAGTCATTTTAGATTTATTCCCCTCCCCCCATTTATGTTATTTTCTTTTAATGAATTTTTTTGAACCTATCTCTAAATACAGCGACATTCTGAGATGTCGGCTTTAGGACTTCAACATATTATCCTTGCCCTACTCCTGGATGTTCTCCCAGGTCAGTCCAGGCACACAGATTGGTTCACAGAGTGGAGTGGGCAGGAGGGGACCCCTGATCTGAGTCCTGCTTCTCCCACACAGGTGCGTGTGCCAGGTGCAGATGGTGCAGTCTGGGGCAGAGGTGAAAAGGCCCGGGGAGTCTCTGAGGATCACTTGGGAGACTTCTGGATACAGCTTTACCACCTACTGGATCAGCTGGTTATGCCAGGCTCCAGGGCAAGGCCTCGACTGGGTGGGGACAATTGATCCTGGTGAATTGGGTATGCCATATGGCCCGTCCTTCCAAGGCCATGTCACACTCTCCACTGACAACTCCACCAGCATCACCCACCTGCAGTGGAGCAACCTCAAGTCCTCAGACACTGCTGTGTATTACTGTGCGAGAGACACAGTGAGGGGATGTCAGCGTGAGCCCAGACACGAACTTCCCTACAGGGACACACGGGACCACCAGGGGACGCTCAGGACCCAACAAGTTCAGGGTTGATTCCCATGAGCAGGTGCAGAGGGGCCTGTGCTTCCTGTTGGATACAACGGAATCATCCACTCTCCAAGTTCTCAGCTGTCTCCAGAGATGTTTTATGTCTTGTTATTTGTGTGTTTAACTCCTCACGCCCTCACGGGGTAATGAAGGTGCATCTGATGCGGTCTATATGCAGATGAGATGTGGCAATGGGCATGCTGCCAGCACGAACCTAGACTTCACATCTTGGGCACGAGGGCTGACAATAAGCTCTGTATCTTATGAATATTCATAACCAATAATATAAATTTATAAATGTAGATATCCAGTAACTATTAAAAAGGAAGATTCACTAGGGTCATTTTCTTCCTGAATTCCTATAACTCATGTTTCATTCTCGACAAACAGATCATCCTGAAGATTCTCCTCATTTCTTTTTTGGAGCTAATTTCACTCATAGAAAAACAGCTGCATTGTCCAGTCACTCTGTGTCCCAAGCTCACACTCTTTGGCCTCAGAGAAGAAGCTTTAGTCCCTTCATGGACCCATTCACTCAGACAGACTACCTCTTCCCCTCAGGTTCTAGAATAGATTTGATCATCAAACATCCAACCCCACATTGTCTCCTAATGTGCATCCTATGTGTCGGTCCATCCATGGACACCCTGGATAGATCACCTGAAGTGGGTCACCTGCAGCTTCCTCACTGTGCTGCTGAGTCCATGTGTCTTTCACATGCAGAACCATGTAATTCAGGCACTACTGAAGGTCAATCCTGCATCAAGTTGGAGGCACAGGTGGCTAATGACCACACAACACCTATAACAACTCACGCACCTTATGTCATATAATCTACAGTTGGGTCCACGACCTGCAGGACACACTGGCAGGCAAATCTCTGAGATGCTGTGGTTGCACAGTGATGCTTTGGGTGTCCAGGTCACCCTCAATATAACCTTTGTCTCCAGTGAGCAGACCACATATATGAAATCAAATGTCTATGAGTTCCTATGTTATGGAACAGAGCTCAGGAAGGGCTAAAAGACTAATATAAAACACTGAAAAGCTTTTATAAAAACAAAGACAATATTCTAAATGCAAAGGATCTAAGCATTCTATTTAAGAAGTTGGACAAAGGGCATAGACTGTGTATTTAAACCAAGCATACATATTTTCTTTTAGCTTTTATTTACTTTTCTTCGCATGTGGCAGGGGAAGTAGAACACAAAGAAGCAGTGACTTAAAGATTGTTTTGAGTAGATACATTACATGGAACACAAGTTGTGATTATTTTATGTAAATTATAACAAAATAAACAAAGTCTATCAGACATGAGGCAATAAATCATTATTACAGCTAAACTGCACTATGTTCCTCCATAATAATAATAATATGAGTTTGAGAATCTGCTATATGCCAGGCATGCCCCACCCAACCGTTAGGTAGAATAGCCAAGATTTCCAAATTCTTCGTGAGCCAGTTAAAATTTTATATTCATTTAACACAAAAAAACCCTTCTGGAAAATATCAGATATCCTATTGAATCAAAAAACTATTTTTACAGAGAAGTAGATACATTATTGTCTTCTTTTATTGTAGCACAAATATTAAAAGGTGACTTTTTAAAGTGAGTGTAATTTTTAATACCTGTTTTAAAATAATGCCTTTCTGACATTATATACACACTCACTGACTCTCTCTGAAAGTACCAATCAACTTTATTGCACAGGCAAATTCCTAAACACAAAAAAGTACAAATATTAAATCTAGGTCATGTACTTACAAATTTTTGATGAACAAAGACATTGTGAATTTTGGAAGGTTTTATTCAATGTCTGTGTCCTTGTGTTCCTCAGTTCTTCATAGAGACTGACCTAAACTTGAGCTTCCCCATCCCAATCTGTGGTGGATGGAAAAGATTCTAAGTCAGAATGATCACATGGCCTGAGTGGTCCAGAGTGACCCCTGGGTGCCACTGTCACTTATGCAGTCCTATTTGTGGGCATATCCTGAGTGATTTTATTAACAACATGTGCTTGGTATTATTCTTAAGAAATAAAACCCCTCCATATAGGAGGACTGTACCTCCGGGTCCTCACACAGAAACTGAAAGTGTGACTGTCCCGCATGTCTTCAGGTATAATGTGTTTCATTCTCTCTTGGACTTGCTTTAATTTTTGTCTACACCAGCAATTCCACTCTGTGCTCTCACTGATAGAATTAACATTCTGAGATGACAAATCTGATGGTTCTTCTTTGGTCTCAGTCTACACGACCCTTTTGAAGCCTTTGTAGCTTTAGTCCTCCCTGGACACTTATCTTCTTGAAATAATCTCTTCAGTTAGTTATTTTCTGGCATTTAAACTTAGCAACTCCATCACATCCAGATATTTCTCCACATCTTCCTGAAAATTAATGTTGTAATTTCTCAGGGAATTTTCTAACAATCTATGACACAACTTTTCAGGGTAATTATGATATTAAAATCCAACTGAATGCATTGACATGTGAGAGTAATCAGCACCTCCACGAGAGGAAAACATGTTCTGCTAAGTCAGTGGGTCCAGGGAATGAGATCATTGATTTTATATCACTATCAATATTGCTGTACCAACCTTTGTGCCTTCTCTGTTTATACACGGCTTTCGTGAGCATGGAAAATGAAGGTTGGGGATGCCTCCCTCCACGACTGGCCTAGCTCCTCACACTGAGTACCTGAGATGACAGTGACAAATATGACACCATCCATCAACATGGGAATATCAATAATCCTCTTGGTAATAACTTGATTGCTTCATGCGACATTCACCCATGAGAGCGAGAAAATGGTCCTCATCAAAATTTTCTCATCTAATTTTTTATTGGCATTATTTACCTGTTGATTCATGTTTTTGTTAATTTTTAAATGCATTTTGAAGTAACTTTAGGCTTAAACAAATGTTGCAGAAATAAGACAAAGAATACCATGTACACTTCACCTACATTTTTTGCTTTATAATTGTTTATGGTAGTTATTCTTATCCAGTATGAGGATTTGCCTTTCTTGCCAAAGTCCTTTTCCCATAACCAATGTCCTTGGTGCTGAATGTCTGTTTCTGATATGAGATCCTGCAGGATGTTGTCTAAGACCAAGGATTGTAGTTGTGCTTGAGGAATAGTGAAGCCATGGGAACACACACATGGGCTAAAGTTGTCATCCATCATTTAGATTTTTTCATTCAGAAGCAGAAAAACTAATAGAACAATGGAAGGGCCAATTCAAGTCTCTGAAAATAAAACCAAATTAATGTGACTGAGGATGTTTTATGACATCGTTTTCCAGAAAAAACTTTGAGCTCTA